CTGGGAAATTCCACTGTAAGAAAATTAAAATACATTAAAAAGCCACAAAATGGAAATATATTGACTCCAAGTAACCTTCAGGTTTCATTTCAACTGCTGTATAAAAAAAGAAAAACCTCAGTTTGTTTCAACTGGTATTTCTTGATTAAACATTTAGTTAGCAGACATGTAATAATACAATAATAATGCAATATATTTAGTATTAATAATTAAGTTACGTGTCAGAAAAAATAAATGAGCATGGTGAAGTTGGTGAAAATGTTAGGAATGTGCAATAATAGATGCGGTCCATGTTCTTTTTAATTTTGATAGTTCTTTAAATTCATTGGGGCAAACAATTTCAAGGAAAATATTATAGATTCTTCAGTTTTTGAAGACCTGTGCTATGACTAGGATATGCTTTATACTCAGCCAGTTCAGCCTCCTAATAAGAGCCAAGGCTAAAGTTGTAGTTGGGGGGTTGCCAGTTCCAGTATCTCAGCTGATCTGAGTTGTTGTGGTATCCCAGGAATAGGATGTGACCTCTTTGATAGGTAAGTTTCAGTCCCTTAAGGCTTCTACAATGTAAAATAAGCTCTCTAAAATAGGATTTGTTAATTGTTGCAAGTTTTAGAGCAAAATGATGTATGCAGTTTCCATGAGAAACATTGCAGTGTAAGTGGCCTGCCAAGGTGTGTACTGGCAAATTACTGACATTCCAGTGTTGCCCCATGCAGAGCACATTACAGAAATCCGTTCCTCAGATGGGAAAGGGCCTTTTGTGGAAAATCATTCTTCACAGCTTACACAATGTCTGAGGCTAAGCTTGCAAAATCTTTCTCAAATCAGTGAAGATAAAATAGTATTTCAGTTCTTCCGATTGCTCTCCCAGAGCTGATACAGACGATAAAAGATTAAGGTAATGCTATCTGTTGACTATTAGCTCTCATCTAATTTTTCCTCTCAGCCTTGCATTTCTTTGCTCCTGTTATCTGTCTACTTAGCACTTTTACTTGCGGTAAAGTAAACCTACACACATATTGCAGCTCTCTGGATCTGATTGTCAGCTAGTGTAACTTGGAAGTGAGCAAAGTAACAGCTGTTTACAACATACCAGTTCTTTCTGCTCTCAGGTTGTTTAGCAATTTCAAAACCTTTCACATTTTATTCTCATTACTTAGTGTCACTCCTTGGTGAAACTGAATGATGTACATGAAAGCATAAATCATTCTGTACAGAGCTAAGATTGCTTTTGAGAAGTTCCCTTCAGTGCTCAGTTTTAATCCTTTAAAAAATAAGATAATGTACGTGACATTTCAAATTATTTAATGTTTTCCTTTTTCTGGTTTTCTATTAACCCAGTTTTCATTTTCTTTTCCTTAAAATGCTAGGAATACATATTAAATACGTTAGTAAAGTGATCGTTGTTCTTTAATAAGTTACACATTAATTGCTGGGCTTTACTGAAATTGTGTTAGCATTAGGGGAGGTCCTGTAAGACCACTGATGCTGGGAAGATATAATTTCTCATTAAAGAAGGATAAGTGGAATTACAAGAACCTGCATTATGTATATGGCATTTTTTCTTTTCTATGTTATTAGCATACATACAAAGCTGCCAAGTCTTACGCAGTTTCACATGTGGCTTTAAAAAAAAAATTATTATTCATCCCCATCAGAATAGGGATGTAAGTAAGAAATATGAGAGAGGAGACAACGAGAAAGTAGCTTTTCTGCTTGCCAGATTGTGCATGGGGTTGGGGTACAGCCACCTGATGGGCACGTACCTGGTGCATGGGCAATTGGGCATTTGGGGATATTGGTCCTACAAGTTGTGTCTTTGCTGTCTCCTTTGTCAGCCTGTATGCTTGCTTTGTTTTGGCTGCCACTTTTTGGCTTGGCTTCAGGAGGGAAAATGGAAGTCCACTGATATTCCACAGGACAAGCCCTAGGTCATCCCCCAGTGACCAGAAGAAGTGACCACAAGGACATCTTTGTTGCATAATACTAGCCAGAGAGAACCCAGCTGGTCTTTGAATGGTTGTGGCCAGGTGGGTGGGTAGAAGGCTTCAGAAGTGAGTGTCACAAAATTTGTGTGATGCTTTTTAAGTCAATAGTCACTTATTTGTTTGAAGTTCCATTTTTTTAAAATGCATTTTTAATTTCACTTTCATCTTCAGTGACTGATTATGTTTGATTCAGTTATTATGGTTATTATTTTCAGGGTGAAAAATAAAACTAGAGACTGCCAGATATTTGTCCGTAACATTTTCGGGAATTCTATTAAGCTAAAACTTTTCAGAATTAAATATAATATTAAAACACAAGCAAAGTGAAAGATTGGGAGCAAAAACCCACAGCCATGTTTGTATGTATCCCTATATACCTGCAGCACCATACAAATATATAAAACAGTCCTTAAACTGTGGTACATCAATTTGCTGTTTTTTCCCCCGAGTTCCCCAAAGCAAAATGTAATCGTGCAAAACACAGTGACATTAATTCAGAAATAGGCTTCTTGCTGATTTTTAGATTGCTTGTTTTATTTTCATTGTTTGTGTGTAACTGATGTCATCTGTATGATAGTGAAACATAAATTGCCCTTTGAATTGCTGGCATGCCTGTGAAATGTTTGCACTAAAAAGTAAATATGAGTAGTACAGACGGGGTGCTTCAGAGTTAGCATACCTCTTTGCAAGGGAGTAGCAATGTGATCAATATTTTGAAAAGCTGTAATTTCACCTTCAAGAATGTTTGGTCTTTGCACTTAGAAAACCAAGGTACTTCTATATGGCAGGAGGCACCTAGAAAATCAAGGTACTTTCATGAGGGGAATATAAGAAAGACATGAACACACTGGAGCAAGTGCAGCAAAGGGCCATGAAGATGAAGGGCTTGAAGATACCGGTCACGTGGGGAGGGCTGGGAGAGCTGGGACTTTGCAGCCTGGAGAAGAGAAGGCTCAGAGGGATCTTGTTAATGTGTATAAATACCTGGTGGGAAGGAGCCAGGCTCTTCTCAGTGGTGCCCAGTGACAGGACAAGAGGCAATAGACACAAACTGAAATACAGGAAATTCCACTTGAACAGAAGAAAAAACTAACATTTTTACTGCAAGGGTCATCAAACACTGGAACAAGTTGACCAGAGAGGCTGTGGTGTCTCCATCCTTGCAGTTATCCAAACCACACCTGGACACAGCCCCGAGCAAACTACTCTAGGTGCTCTGCACGGGGCAGTTGGATTAGGCAGTCTTCAGAGATCGTGTCCAACCTCAGCTATTCTGTGATTCCCGGTTCTATAAGCTGCATCTTTTTTTTTCTGTGTTTATTCAAGGTTGTGCCACCGTGTGTATGATCTTAAGAAGCAGCTTTTTCTCTTTTAAACTGAAAATTTTTGCACTTTATAAGTCAGGGGTGTTCTCAAGGCAGGCTCTTGATATTCTTCCGAAAAGGTTCATTGTATAGGTGTGTATATCATTTTGTATCTCCTTGCATTGTGTTGAAATTTATGAATAACACATATAGTAGCTCCTGTAGAAAGCTTCTAGAAAGGCAATTAAGATGGCCATTCAAAATTCCTGCATTTAGGACTTAAATGCAAAACTGTTAATGTTGACTTTTTAATTCGATATAAATATTGTTGAGTTTTGGAATATGCTTCATAGGAAAGATCTTATTTATTGTTGAATGTTTCCTCCTTCCTCATTGTTTTGACCGTCCTTAAATAAAATCACAAATTCAACAATGAAGTAATTGGGATAGCATAGAAATGTGTTGACTGCCCCTGCTGCCACCACCCCCCGCCAGTCCCTAATGTATTTCTTCCTTCTCAGTAAAGTGTACAAACAGAAATTATTGTGGTAAAAATCTACAGATGTGTAATAGACATATTAATTATTGGTATTGTAGGTGCCTAAGATACACAGCTTCTTGTTATAATGTATTATTGTATTTCCTGCTATTTCCAGCCTTACCCCACCAGGTACAGCCGTGTTCTAACCTTCTGATCTATACAATATAACAATATAAATGCAATATCATCAACTTGGTCTGTGTTAGGTGGACAGGTCCTGGGTTTTCAGTCATGGGGCCATGAATTCCCTGTTCTTTCCAGATTACTGCATAGTGCCCAGAGCACAGATGGGAGGTGGAACTTGGTATGAGAGGGGTCAGGAACTCATGGAATAGATCCCTTCCAAGGTATCAGGGGAAAGGCATTAAAGACCTTCTAAATACAAAGTAATTTATTTCATTTTAGAAATTATGTGAGTATTTAATCTGTCATAGTGCTTCATACTTCATTAGTTTTATATAAACTGTGATTTAGGTCATATTTTGCTCTGTCTTCCCTTGTCTTTTGTTTTTTATGTAGCGCCTGATCATTGTATGACATCCACTGTACTCTATTGGGTTTCATATCTGGAAATCCAACATGGTTTAGTGAGTTTAGATTAACGTAGCTTTCAAAGCTCCTCATACACCTAACTGAATGTTAAGGTTTATTATATTAAGCATTTTCATATTTTTCAGACTTTACACTTTAGATGGAAAACTTGTTCAGAATGGGTCAGACTTGGAGAATGGGCAAATTTATGTTGCAGTGGGTAGAGAAAAGTTTAAGAAGTTGCCATATGGTGATCTGCTGTTTAGCAAATCTACAATAAGAAGGCCACAGGGGTAAGTTCTATAGGTGCTCTCATATGCTTGTGTGTGTCAATTTGTTTACAAAGTACCACCAGTAAAGTACAAAATCATCATTCCAAGAATGAAGGATGGATGGATGGGTTAGTATGGATGCAAAACTTTATTGACAACTTCTGAGAAAGTTGAGATAAAAAAAACAAAAGAGAAAATGGAAATTCAGGAGACTATTTCACCTCATAAACATGCCATTGATCACGTATCACAAAATTAATGTTTTATGTTTGGGTCTGTTTTTGTAGGCTAGAATTGTCACACAATAGAGTCCTAAACTGGGTCTCTGTAAGAAGAAACTTGGGCTTTTAGTGTCTTTGGAAAACATGAAAATAGGGAGCCATTTCATTGAAATAAATGGAAAGAAATGGAAATTTGTCCCACAAATTGGTGTAATTTAGAGAATTTGTCTCATATTCTGCATATAAACTGGAGTGTAATTTATATTTTTGGTTTTTTAGTGAGCAACTGTAGATAATGTGAATAACTTGAAAGTATTTTGGGAAACAGTATTTGCAACAAATGAATTTAAGGACAGTGAACAGCTATGTTGATCAATCGATGTAAACAGAGTTTTATTGAAATTGCTGGAACTTCTCATTATAATAGTTGTAAGGATCTTTCACATAGTATTTCACTGAATACTACTATGCAAATTTTCAGTATATAAAGTATGCATCATGGGGAAATGTAATGCATTTGTTTGAATAACTTAATGATTATGCATTTAAATATAGTCTAGTGAACAGAAATGAGTGATTCTTAGTAAAAATGTGCAATAAATAAAACAATTAACTCTGTTGCTGTAGCTGACTTGGTGTTATCTGACTTTGTTATAGACACATAGTGTCTATGATAGTGACAGTGTACACAATTCTAAGATATGTCTTATTTCTGCAGTTCCAAGGCCTCTGTACTACCTCCAATTGTGGGATCTCGAAAGTCTAAAGGCAGTGTAAGTATCAAGTGCCATAATAAAGTTTGTTTCTAATTTCGCTTCATTCCGGCAGATGGAAAGGCCCTGTCCTTTGGGTTTTAATTAAATCTGAAGAGAAAAAACCCACAGCCACCTGGTGGTATGCTTATTAAAGCTTGATGAATCCGTTGCTATTTGCAGCATCAATTAGACAAAAGATATCTGAGAAAATATTATTGCAATAAAGGCGGCTTTATTTTTTATAAAACCTTCCATAGCAAAGATCAACTGCTGCCCATAAACCTTGTCAGCTATCTTTCTTTATTTGTTAAATCATTTATTCAAATTATACATCTAAAGGAAAAACACAAAACCTTTTACAAAATGTCTTGCAGAAAATGGTGTTTCTGCATGCTGAGTGTGCGTAAGGCCCGAAAACAGTTTCCTGTCTGATGTGTTTTGCCCTAGCTAACCATTAAATACAGAGCTTGAGCCTCCACTGCTTTGTATAGCTGTTTATATGTGTACAAAATGAGTCCACTGTGGATTTAAAACAGCGCCAAATCAGAATATAAGTATCTGTTTGCACCGATTCTGTACAAGTGCGGTTTACTGTACAAGTACAAGACAGCAGAGAGTCAGGCTCACAGTCTGTCATATAATTGTGCTAGTTGATCATGTCCATTCACTGTTTACAAAACAAAAAAGCCTGGAGCTACTAAACAAAATAAGCAATAAAATATACAAGTGTCTGTTCCATTCTATGGAAATTCAGTAGAAGATAAAACCTCAGTAAAGAACATACTTTCAAGTGGTGTTTGTTTTTAAAATGTGAGCTTTACAATTCTAGAATTCATAAATATAACTCATTAACAGTTTTAACTTCTTGCCTCTTCTACTATTACTTAACAGCCTATACAGAAAATTATTTGATATTCACTTTTATTCCATTGGGATTGTAACACACACTGATAACAAGTGTCAAAACTTAAGGAGGCAGGAATATGTACTACTGCTCTTAAATATCTAATGCAACACTTGGACTGGTATAAATCATGCAATTGTTTGCTTTAATTTGATGTCTACAATTTTTTACTATCATTGCTTGGGAGTAACAGTCTGCAGTTTGAATTGGAAGAAGCTGAAATATTGCCGTGCCCTCGTTTCTTTTT